AATGAAGATATTTTTGAAGATGATCTAAATAAAAATTAATCTTTAATTTTTAATAAATTCTACCTATTATAATTATTATTTGTTAAATATAATACAACCTTCCCATCCTCTGTGCCAGTTGAACGTGTGTTTAGCATGGAGAAAGATGTGCAGAGTATTCTCTTGTTTCTGATCAACATTTTGAAAATCAATTGTTGTTTAAGATAAATAAAAAATTATTATAAAAATATCCTATCTTATAATATATTATTCTTGTATAATTTTTTTAATATTATACATAGGAAAAAAAATTATTTTAAAAAGATCTCATCTTATAATATATCATTTTTGTATATTTTCTTTATATTATATATAGAAAATTTTTGTATATAATAATCAATTTTTCAAAAGAGTAACGCGTTACTTTATAAATAGCCAGTAATGTAACGGTAACGCATTTCTTTTTTAAATGTAACGATTGTTTTTTGACTTAACGTCTAAAGCAATTTTAAAAACAAGAGCTCGTATAAAATTCTTTGATTTTTTATTTATTTTATGCGAGCCAATTAAAAATTCTCTTCTCGTTTAAAAAGAGAACATTTAAAATCTTGCGCTAGCATAATCCCTATGATCTTTGTTTTTATACGAGGTGGTGGAGAAAATAACGAGTAACCCGTTACTTTTTGAATAGCCAGAAACGCGCGTTCCCTTTCCATATAGTAACAGTAACGCGTTCCTTTTTTCAGACGTAACGAGTTTCATTTTGACATAAAGTTTACAGCACTAATTCCAAATTATTACTCAAATATTTATTTTTTTCTAAAATAAGAAATATGATTTAATCTATTTGTATCCAAAATTAAATATAATAAATCGATATACACATTAGTGATCTACATCAGGCCTAATTTTAAAAGCCCGGCTCGGTCCGAAATTTTTTAAAAAAATTTAGTGGCCTGTCCCGAACCCTAACTTTTTTTAAAAAGTTTTGCCGGCCCGGCCCGAATTTATTTAAATATAGAAATTAATTCTTTTAAAATATTATAATTACTCAAAATAAAAGATACATATCATATGGCGTCTAGTTTTATATAAATAAAATTAAATATTTTTACTTTACTTAAAAAATTCAACATAAAATTGATAAATTTAGATATATTTTAAAAAAAATTCTAAGGCCCGACCAGGCCCGAATTTTTTAAAAAATATTAGGTCCGGTCGGGCCAACTTTTGCAGACATACATATCATTTAAATGCAAATTGATATAAATATTTCTCATTTCTGATTTTTAAAAAATAAATTCCAAATTATTGGTCAAATATATATTTTTACAAAATATAAGAAATATGGTTTTATCAGTTTCTTTCCAAAACTAAATATAATATATCGATATACACATATCATTAAAATGCTAATTAAATGGTTATTCTAAATATATAAATATTTCTCATTTCTGATACAAAAAAATTGATTCCAAATTACTGCTCAAATGGCACAAGGTTTAACAGGAATACCATTTTTTTTTAAATAAAAAATGTAAAAGTTTATATGAGAATGTTTAAAAACACAACCTCGAATAAATCCTTTGATCTTTGTTTTTGTACCAGAAGATGCACTCTAATTTTTTTTGGTGTCAACGACTTGGGGGTCTGCTGGAGGGGAAAGTCTCCAGTTGTTTTGGGAGGAGTTTTAAAATTAAATCCTGGAAGGCAACTAAAATAAAGTCATTTAAGAATGATATTAATTCAAAAATCTCATAATTTGAAGTTCATTACATTTAAATATTTGGGCGAAAAGGCCGAAAACTAATTTATTTCTAAAAGGGAGGAAGGAAGGAAGCTTCGAAATCTTTAGGTTTAGGCTATATCTTTCTGGCTAACATATTGAGTTAGCCGTTCTAAAAAAATAGGCTCAAATCAAGACATTTAACAACATTACCTATATCACCAGCGGTGATGAAGACTAATTCTGGGAAAACCCCCGTTGCAGGAAATGCCAAATTGGTATTCCATATCAAATCGATTATTTTTCGGCCCGACAATATTAATTTTGATAAAAATTATCATACTGAGAGAACATCATTAGAAAGCATCGAATCCAAAATTTTGCCTCCAATTACTAATAGTTTCTGAGATATCAAGTGTCAAAAGATCCAAAATCTTTATTCGAAAATTTTCTTTAATGAGATAAATTATAAAATAATGATGTTAAAAATAAAAATTGTGTGTCATTTTTTAACTCTATTAAAGGACTCTATTAAAGGACTTTTATTAAATATTTAGGATTATTTAATCTTGCGGTTTTTTTTTAAATTTTGAACCTGAAAACTCCCGGTGTTTTGCATTCCGAATTTATTTGAATTTAATATTTTATTATTTACTTATATTATATATATAAGTAATAAAATTTAAACTTGGGACAGCCATAGGTTTAGTTATTACGATTTTTAAAAAAATAAAAATATTTTTTTTAAAAGGTGCTACTATATAAAATAACCCATTTTTGTCAAAATTATTAATTTTTTTGAATCTTTTCCATTTTTAAACATAAATAATATGATTTTCCAGTATTAATATCATTAAAAATATAGTCGCCTTTGACAGGCCTTATAATTATTAATATTAATATCTTGGAAAAAATAATTGTTATATATGATTAAATTTCCTAAAAAGATAGTTACGACTAATAATTATTGAAAGATAAAAGCCAGTTTTCATACTGCCGGTTATTAATTAATTTTTATTTAACAAATGTTTCGATATTAATTATATTTTTTTCATAGAACTAAGCATTTTAATTATAAAATGAATCTGCTAAAAATTCTGACATCTAAATTTCCAAATATTAAGACGTAAAACACTATATTTCTGATCAATGCCGTAAGTATTACAAAAAAATCTAAAAATATAAATTCTGACAGTGAATATGAAATAGATAATATCATCATAGAATCCACATCAATAGACACAAGCAATATTCTTTAAATGAAATTGGAATATCTCCTGTTAAGAAAAAAAACTTACTAAAAAATGATTTAAAAAAAGATAGCGAAAATATTAAAAGCTATTTCAGAAATATAATTAAAAATCCAGAATAGGTTAGTTGCCAAGGAAGGATTACAAAGACCTTATCTAGATCAAAAAATTAAACCGATACAATTTTAAAATAGGATGAAGAGCCTATAAAAGATGTAAATTTTTCTTATACCTACATAACACAGTATAAGGCTAGTAAATTTATCTTAATACTTGGGACATAAAAAATTCACATAGTCTCTAAAATCGGTTTAACTAAGCTCAATATTAAAATGTATTCCAATTAGCAGAAGTTTATTGTGAAGAATATAGTAAATCCATGTAAGGATATGTTAATCAATGAAAATAGAGGATAAGTGACCTGTATGTAAGAAACGATTGAGGATTTGTGTAAAAGTGGATGTAAATAAAGAGAAATGAAAATAACCTATTCCATCCTAAAGGACGAACAAATTCTTTGGTTTATTCAGCGACACCTGATCTCCTTTTTATAACAAAAAATAATATTTTAACAGTGAGCTCATCAAAGACGACTGGGGGTACTTATTATTTATGCAAAACGGATTAAGACGTTAAAAACTCAATTTGATAAAAAACCGAAAATAAGTAAAAACTATTATAATCGAAGCTAAATTTCATAATGATATTAAAAATATTTATGTTTAAAAATGGAAAAAAATCAAAAATATTAATAATCAAAAATGCGTTATTTTATATAAGTTTGCCATGTATTTCTGGAAAAAATATTTTTATTTTTTTAAAATCGTAATAATTAAAAAACACATGGCTGTCCCAAGTTTAAATTTTTTACTTATAGATATAAGTGAATAATAAAATATTAAATTCAAAGAAATAGGAAAGCGAAACATCTGGAGTTTTCAGTACAAAAATAAAAACCGCAAGATTATTGTTTTACTAAAATCCTTAATATTTAATAAAAAGCCTTGAATAGAGTTACAAAATGACATACAATTTTTATTTTTAGCGTCATTTTATAGCTCATCTCAATTTTAAAAAATGGAATTTTTCGAAAAAAGATCTTTATGACCATTGATATCTCACTATTAGTACTTGAAGGCTAAAATTTTGGATTCGATGTTTTCTAATGATGTTCTCTCAGTGTGCAAAATTTTATCAAAATCAAAAGAGTCGGGCTGAAAAGTTATCAATTATGCAAATACTAACTTCAAGGTTGTCAAAGTTGGAAACCTTATTTACCCCCAATAATCAAGAAGATCGATTGGAGATAAAATATTGATATCCTTGTTAATTAATCAAATTTAAATTTGTATGATTCATAAAAGAATCAAATAAAAAATATGCAAAATATATGGTAATTTTTTTATATTAGTTTATTAATATACTTTACTTTTCTATCGTTAAAGAATTTTAAAAAAACCCTTAAACATATTTATTTTCACTTTCACTTTTTTTATTGAAGTTAAGAAGATTAATTAAAAGGAAAATTATTCTAAAAATAAATAAATAATAAAATAAAAATGTGGATAAAATCCTTATTGGTTAAATTTTTAAAAAATATTGGCCAGTCCTCAATAGATATCTGGTTAAAAATAAAATATTATATATACCAAATTAAAATATTAACTATATTTTTATAAAATTTGTTAAATAATGTTTGAAATATTGAGTTAAATCATTTATTTAAAAAAAATCACGATGATTTAAATCTGCCAACTCAAGAATTCTAATTATTTATAATTATATTCTTTGTCAAATTTTGATATACATCTGGTTTAAGTTTTATGTTTTAATCTATAAATAAAGTTTTTAAAAAATTTTATACAAATTTTGGTTCAAAGATTTTGATTTTAAACATTTTTTTTATTATAATTTGTAAATGTAGATTATTTCAATATATTAATTTTTTTTAAAAATTCTCCAAAAAAATAATTGTATTATTATGGAAATATTGAGATGAATTTTTTCCTCATTAAATGAAAAGCTTAAAATTTTTTAAATTTTACTTTTTTGTGATCAGAACCATTTGAGAAATTAGAGAATTTTTCCATATTATTTAAATCAGTATCTTGATTATTAGCAATTCCATTGATGGCAAATAAAATTTTAGTCATTTTCAAATCAATTGTTTTTATTGTTATAACACGACCTATTGCAATATCAAAATCAGGACTAGAACCTGAACTTTTTAAGAAATCTTGAGTTTTCAAATTTTCAACCAACTTTGTCTCACCATTTTGAAGTTGGATAAAACTTCCTTTTTTAAAAATCGAAGAATCTGAAGGGCAAATACTGTTCATATTACTTAAGTCAACATTTCCTAGCACATTCTTTTTGATAATTTTATCTATTGAAAAATGATTAACATTGTTTTTATTTGTATTTTCTATTTCTAATAAAGAGGCTAGTTTGTAAATTTAAACATATCAAATTACCTATTTCAATTTTTGCTGTATCCGACTGAATATCATAGTCCTCATCTTTACTTATTGATATTACTCGCATCCTTTTATGTAATGGTTCATCATATAATGCACTTTCAATCTATATAAAATTATTTCAAAATATAAGTTAATTAATAAACTTTTGGTTTTACATAAATATTATTATTTTTAATGTCATTTTCAATAATATTTTCATTTACATCATCTTTTTCTAAAATATCATTTTCATTTAATTTTTCTCTATGATCATTATTAAGAATAGTTGCTAATTCCTGTCTACATTTAATTTCATCAATATTATTCATGTTATCATAATAATTGTGAGTAAGTGAATAGGAATTTTTTAAAAATGGGGCTGGCATATAAGGTGAAAGCAAAGGTAACAATGGATTAGATATTAAAGGTGTATATGTCAAAAAGGGACTTAATGGTAAATGAGGTTGTAAATTTAATGTCAATTGGGGTATAAATAGTCCTAATGCTTGATATATATTGGTGTGTTCATCTTTTGGTTTATAATTTTTTTCTTCAATATAAGAGCATTCTGATGCACCTGATGTGACATTTTTTAAATATTCAGAATTCATACTTTTCTGCAAATCTTGTTCCATCTTTATTAGATAATAGTCATTTTTATCAATAAAGGCATAATTTTTATTATCTTCAATATTTATTTTATTTGAGTCATTAATATAACCAGATTTAATAACATTTCTTGTATCTATATAATGAACAGGTGATGGGTCAAATGATGGTATCATTAATGGAGATGGATGTGAAATTAAAAGATGCTTAGTTGGATATAACATAGGAAAAATTGGATATTGTGGTGATGAAAAATATGGTAGAGAAAAATATGGATCAAATGTACAAACATCATTCTTTTTAAAAATATTGTTAAATTTTAAAGATGATTCTGAATTATTATACTGACAAGTAGCTTCCTCATTATCTCGATTATCTGGCAATTCTTTAATAAAGTTTACGTCAAGCATAGGAATAAATTGGTTTTTAATGTTCATTTGTTAAATCAACAAGAAATCACTAAAAACAGATTATTTGATGGTTCCATGTCAATTCAGCGAAACTTTTATCGCGAATGTAGTTTTTAACGCGAAAGAATTTTACCCTGAATTCAAGAGCGATTGCGATTTCGCCGTGAATTCGCTTTCATAGTGCAAAGCGATATTATAAATTCAAGATGGTAGCGATTCTCAAAGCGATATTATAAATTCAAAATGGTAGCAATTCTCAAATTATCATTTTTTTACATAATGATCTTAAAGAGAAGAAGATTAAACCCAGTTAATATTAATAAAACAAAAGAGGGCGAATTTTACGTTCTCTTTCCTAAACTATTGAATAATGAGCCTAAATTTTATAATTACATGAGAATGACCAAAGTATTATATTTTATCTATAATTCATTTTATTAGGAAACTTTTTATTATATACTAAAACATGTTAAACCTTTTTACCTTTTTTACATACCAAATCTACAAATTTTATAAAACGTCCTATAAGTGTTGAAGAACAGCTTATGGTTTGTTTAAGGTAAAAATAAAGCTATTTATTATTTAAATATATTTTTTATTTAGATATTTAGGAACATGCTGTAGGTATCCTACCTTGGCCTATTCTTTCAAAATGGGTATTGTAATATAAATGTAATTGTAAATTGAATTTAAATTGAATATATAACTTTTCGTTTGTAAATTACATAACCTGAAAGATTGAATTCATTATATATATAAAAGAAACTATTTATTTTAATTCTTTTTTTAAATCAAATTTATTATTATTCTCTTTATATCTAAAAACATAGTATATATATATAAAAAAGTTAATTGAAAAATATATAATATTACGTTTTTGTGAATAGTTAAATTATATCAAACACATCAATTTATAATATAAGATTAACTATTCAAATTTAAGATTAATTCTTTAAATTTATATATGATCAATCAACATTCCCCCTCATCAACAAAGAACGAAGCTTCTTCTCAGCAGTCATCGAGAGCTTGTTGTCCCAGAAGTTTTTTCCCGTTTCGATTGTACTTGGTTTTATCTTGGTTAGCGCATAAGTCTCAAATGTTCTCGTAGGCTTGATTCTATCACGTAGGTTTGATAAAATCGTTTATTAGAGTTGCGTGAGTTTGTACGTAGGCTTGATATCCTTATCGTATGTTGTTCATATTTCTCAAAATTGTTATTATCATTAATCCAGTTGAATATTGGAATTTGGAATAAATCGGAATATGTAATTTGGAATAGTTGATCAAATCAAATATATGAATAATATGCACGATTAAAATTTTGAATTTCGGAACAATAAAATATGTAATAAGGAATGATAATTTATGGAATAAGGAATAAAATTTTAATCCAGAATAAGGAATAATAAATTATTATATTATTTTTTAGGTGTTAAGTTAATCATAGCGTTTTATACTTTTAGCGTTTTACATTTTTTGCGTTTTACATTTTTTAGCGTTTCAATATTTAATTAGTAGCGTTTTAATATTTAATTTATTTTTATTTATTTTCAATCTCCGAGGTTAAAATATGCAAATATTATGCACATTTCCCTCTCTTAAAAAAAATTTAAAATTTCACACAATATTTTTCTAAAATAATGATGTTTAATTTTTACATAACCTTTTGTCTTCAAAAGCTTTATTTCAAAAACATTTTTATCATATTAAGTATTACTTATAAGGGTTATTTAAATCAATCCCTTTTAATTCATATGTTTTAACTTCTTAGTCATCTCCATAGGTTACGCAGTCTCCATAGGTTAGATAGTCATCTCAGTAGATTAGGTAGTCACAATAGATAAGGTAGTCATAATAGGTAGTCATCTCCATAGGTTAAGCAGTCTCCATAGGTTACGCAGTCTCCATAAGTTAGATAGTCATCTCAGTAGATTAGGTAGTCACAATAGATAAGGTAGTCATAATAGATAGTCATCTCCATAGGTTAAGCAGTCTCCATAGGTTAGATAGTCATCACAATAGATTAGGTAGTCACAATAGATTAGGTAGTCATAATAGGTAGTCATCTCCATAGGTTAAGCAGTCTCCATAGGTTAGATAGTCATCACAATAGTTAGGGAGTCACAATAGATTAGGTAGTCATAATAGGTAGTCATCTCCATAGGTTAAGCAGTCTCCATAGGTTAGATAGTCATCACAATAGATAGTAAATAGGTAGTCATATAAATAGAGTCATCTCAATGGATTAAATAATCGTCACAATAGGTAGTCATATAAATAGAGTCATCTCAATGGATTAAACAATCGTCACAATAGGTAGTCATATAAATAGAGTCATCTCAATGGATTAAACAATCGTCACAATAGGTAGTCAAATCAATAAATAAGGTAGTCATCAATTTCAAATTTAATTTAATTTATACTTTTTTATTTTAATTTTAGGCAAATTTTCTATATTTTATTCTTTCTTTTTTTACAAAAACGTAACAGGGCGCCATAAAAGAAACAAGAAGTTAACAAGTTATATTTATTCTAAATCAAAAAATTTTTTTTTTTTTACCTTTTATAATTTTGTAAATTTGGATAAAATTTTGACTATCGAAAAGAAAAGTCAAAAAATTTTATTTTTCCTTATATCATCTCCAATATCGAACGACGAATTTGATAAGTAATTCGTTTACTTTTTATTTTTACAAAAGAATTCAAGGTAAGGATATTTTAAACTTTTATTATTTTACTTTGTTTTATTTTTTTTTAAAAGAGAAAGAAAAACGAAAAAACGTACCACCGTAACCGGGGCACCATAAAAGAAACTATTTATTTTAATTCTTTTTTTAAATCAAATTTATTATTATTCTCTTTATATCTAAAAACATAGTATATATATATAAAAAAGTTAATTGAAAAATATATAATATTACGTTTTTGTGAATAGTTAAATTATATCAAACACATCAATTTATAATATAAGATTAACTATTCAAATTTAAGATTAATTCTTTAAATTTATATATGATCGATCAACAATATATATACGTGATATTTTGTATTAAATATACTTTTACTTACTTTACCTATTTTACTTATTTAATAAAACACTTTATTGGCGACGATTTTTAGAGAAGATTTATTTGATTTATTAAATTTAAAGTAAAAGACTCAATGGAAGTAGCTCCTATTAAAGTTGAAGATTCAATGGAATTAGTTCCTATTAAAGTTAAAGACTCAATGGAAGTAGTTCCTATTAAATTCCATATTCCAGAATTCGTCAAAGAAAAAGTAAATATTCAGGACTACTTATTTAACTTGGAGTTAATTTATAAAGTAAGAAATATTATAGATTTAAATACAAAAAAAGACCTGCTTTTAGCCTATATCGGAACAGACAATCTTATCAAAATTAAGAACTTTCACTTTCCAATAAATTTAGAGATGATAAATTATGATACTTTAATAAAAAGCTTAAATTTGGTGTTCAGGGATAGTTCGAGCATTTTCGTAAATAGGAAAAAATTTTTTACGTTAAAAAGATCACATTATTGACTTTTCAATTAGGGTTAAAACTGTCTGTTCTCTTTGTAATTTTAAACCGCCTTTTGATGAACTTTTAAGAGATATATTTATCCTAGGAGTAGGCTTACCTGAGTTGGACAAAGAACTTCGGTCAATCGAAGGCAATATTACTTTTGAAGAGACCGTGCGTTTAGCGATCGCGCTGTCTTCGTTGGAAAATGAAACCCAGACTGAAGAAATAAAATAATTAAAAATAAGCCAACACAGGGTTCGAAAAATAATTATTTTAGAAATAATAATTATACAAACTTCAATAGATTCAATAATAATAAACACTTTAGTAACAATTATATTCCTAATAATAATTATAGACCTAGTATCAAACCTAACTCTATTCAAAAGAAAGTGATATGCTTTCGTTGCGATAAGGCAAACCACATAGCGAAAGATTGTAGAACCCATGCCATACAAATGATTCTGCCCACCTCGCCTGTCATTTTCAAATAAAGCAACCATCGATGCGAAGATAAATGGGTTGCAGCTAGCTATGGAGTTTGATACCGGCGCCGCGTGTAGTGTGATTGATGAGGTCACCTGGAATCGTATTGGCAGACTACAACTATCACCGGCTTATAAATTAGTGGGATATAATCATATCCAAATCGAAGTACTAGGTAAATGTACCGTAGAAGTCAAAGTAAAAAATATTTCGAAATCTTTACTTATTTGGATAGTTAAAGGGGAGAATTCCCTTATTTTTGGGATGCCTTTCATTAGAGAATTTGATATAAAACTACCGGAAGAAGTTCGTATTAATAAAATAAATATGAATGTTCCCTCTTTAAATACGATTGCTTCAAAATTCCCTCAAGTTTTTTAAAAAAAATTACATGAAATCAAACTGCAAAAGGCAGTCATCCGAATAGAACCGAACACGTTACCGATTGCATTACCAGCAAGAAGAGTTCCTTTTCCGTTGCGTCGAACCATTGAAGCTGAGTTGGACAGACTTTTAGACGAAGGCGTTATCGAGAAGGTGGATCCAACAATAACTCCAATCACTTGGGCTACGCCAACGGTTAATATCTTAAAGAAATCCGGTGCCGTACGGATATGCGGAGATTTTTCGTTTAACAATCAACAAATATCTAGCAATCGATAACGATTTACTACCAACTTTCGTCGACCTAACAAATAAAATCGCGGGTGGTAAAATATTTTCAACAATAGATTTAAGAGATGCATTTTTACAATTCGGAGTTAGTCCAGAATGTAGGGACCTTTTAGTAATTTCGACACATGTCGGTTATTACCGATACCAAAGAATTCCATTTGGTTTGACTAGCGCTCCGATAATATTCCAACGCTTTATGAAAAACCTATTAAAGGGAATTCCTATGGTTAGTGTATTTTTAGACGACATAATTATTGCAGGTGAGAATAATTCCGATCACATAGTTAATTTGGAAGAAGTATTAAGAAGATTTGAGAAGGCTGGACTGACTATGACTACCGATAAAATTAAAATCGGAGAAAAGTCAGTCACTTATTTAGGTCATGTTATTGACAGTTTCGG